GTGACAGAGTGGGTGAGAAGTGAGAGACGGAGAGGGAGAGAGTGAATTTAGAGTTTGATTTGGGATGAAATTAATTTGGATGAAATTAAAATATAATTTGTGTGTGTGTGTGTGTGTATATATAATTTGTTTCTAGTTAAAAATATCTGATATTTGAAAATTAAAACTTGAAATCTAATTTTGGAAAATAGATCGTGAAAGGTAGGGAATTTGGTAGTTCACAGTGGCTTCAACCTGAGCAAGCCAGTAAGTAGTCACGACTCCTTGGTGAGCGATTGTCGCTATGAGCTTGATGGTGGTCTTCGACAATGGGTGTGGTGACGTCAGAAGTATGGGTTAGGTAGAGAAAGTGAGAAGAGAGAAGATGGAGAGAAATGAATTTTAGAGTTTTGGATTAAATTGGATTGGGATGGGTTTGATAGATTTTATATTATTATTATTAGTGGAAATTAACACTTGGTTTATGATTAAATAAACTTATTATTTGATTTTTGAACTATGATTTTGAAAAGTCAGGTCTAATGTAATTTCCACTAAATTTAGTCCAAGTCTTATTCTCTAAAAAATTATTTACCCAAACTCATTTTCAATTACTTATTATTCTAATAAAATACTTTTGCACATAAATTCAAAAAAAAAAAAAATCATATTTTTTAACTATACATTTTCTAAAAAATAAATATTACAAAACTCATTTTTCACAAAAATGGAGCTCAAACACATCCTTAATATATTTTAAAGGAAAAAAAAATTAATAACTGTCTATTGTTAATGTTGTGTTGAGAAATAACAAACTTTTGACAAAATTGCAAAAGTCGGATTTAAGAGGATCGTGATGTGTAACGAGTTTGGCATGGCCAAAATGTATTTTGAAAATAATGAAAATTAATTTTCACCGCTTCCTTTCAAATTATTTTTTTATTTTTCTTAATTGAAATACTTCGAATGCATTTAATCATGGAGAGTGAATCACTCTCTATTTCAAAATATTAATTTAACGAGTTTCTTGGAGTATGATTTTGAGAACGGACTTTTTAAAATTGAAAGTTTCTTATGTTTAAAGAGCCTCTTGTAGATGATCTAATTATGCGAATTCTTTATTGTCTCTTACCAAACATTGTGACTGACGATCTGGACGTGAGGGAATTAGAGGATCGTTTCAAGAGATATTATATACACAAAAATCCTAAATCCACGAGTCACAACAAAACATAGGTCACATTCACATTTTGATGAAACTGAAAGTGATATCCACTAAAAGTGCACTGCAATTAGTAGAAAGTGAAAACACTCTCCATGATTTGTCATTCACTTTTTCAAAAATTGTATACGTAACAAGTTGTTTATATAGAATTTTAACTCCGTATATATTAGAAGTAACCAATCCCATGCCAGAAAGAATGGGGAGAGTTTTCAATTAATTTTTTTTTTAAAGCTCGTGAACTCGGCTCGATTTGGCCTATAAGCCCACGAGCTTAGGGCCGAGCCAAGCCACCCCTAGAAGAAGGGGTTCGCAAATTGTAGACCCTTGTTTCTCTATGTATATCTCACTTAAAATGATCACAAAATAATTAATAACGAATTTACCAATATTTTGAATTATTTAAATACGCGATTTATCAAAACAAAAACTTATATACATGGCTAGGTCCAATTATCTCCTTTTCAAATGCAAAAAAAAAAAAAAAACCTGAAAATATGACAATAATTACTTCCACAATTACTGATAAAGCCAGTCCACCATCTGAATAGCCCATGGATCATCCTCCAAGACTTCTTCTTCCTTCAGTTCATGTCCCGTGCAAATTTTCCGTATGAAATCCTCCCACACGAGGCTGCCTGGAGAAAGTGTACTTCTGTATATCACGAGTTTCTTCAATCAAGGCCTCTACAGTTCGATTCTTCCGACGTTTTTAAAATTATTGCTCGATTCAGCGCAGAACGTAGCCCTTGAACTAGACTCACTAAACAAGAGAGATTGATCAGTACTATTGTCTGACTATACAGGCTGCAGTAATGAAGAAAATTTCTTAAATTCACATTCGATTTTATTGAGAATAAAACTTGAAAACTCATGAAAATAAACAAACAAATACTATGAAAATTTGAAATTGTCAAAGGTTACACCTTCCAATGTTCTGAGTCTGTGGGTTGAAATCTGGAACCAACAGAAGGTAGTCCTGCCACGTTCTTGATTGAAGAAATTTAGGGTCTTATGAAAAAGAGGAAAGATTGAGGGGTTTGAATTTATGTTGTTATCCATGCATCTACTTCCAAGGTTATATGAGAAGAGAGTATTATATATTTAATCACATATAATTAGAGCAAAATTGGGAAAATTGAGAAAAAAAAAGAAGGAATTTTATGAAAAAAGTTCCACTCAATTTAATTTGGGATAAAAGTCATGGTCAAATTTAGGGTACGTTTGAGTCCCATTTTTTGTGTAAAATATATTTT